GCTATAATTTCATAACTAACCAAAAATGTATGATGTGGTAATATCATAGCCATTAAATTTTACAGAATTGGTTTGTCATTGAGTTATCTAACAATCAATCAAGAATACTTATTCCATTTCACTCGGAGTTAGAGGCGCTTTTTTGGGCGATAAAATGTCTTTGAAACTAATTGTCAAGAATGTTATAGATGATTGAGAAAATGGAAGACGGGCCAATTTTTTCACAGAGCTTAATGAGTTCTTGCAACTTCGAAACTTATATTTGTTCTCCTCGTTGATAAGAACCACAACTCTAGATTTAAAAAAAAAAAAAATCCAAATCGTATTTTTTTTGGTCGAGAATTTGAACAATACAAAAAAAAATAAACTTTTCAAACAATGTCGTTTTGGCTAGTTTTTGAATATGTTTTAGCCAAAATAATATCGTTTAATTAGTACGTAACACACAAAATGACGTCATTTTATAAAGAGAGTTTGATTACGTGTTTGAATCCGAAACAACTTTGTATAAGCATTGGATGTTTAATATTAGAAAATTTTTAAAAAATGCCACTTTACAAAAATGCCACACTTTTGAAATCTTTACAAAAATGTCATTTTTTCAAAATTATTTTTCTTTATATTACTTATGTTTAGGTTAATTATGTTCTATTAGGGTTTAGTTTTGAGTGTTTAGGGGGTTTTAGGTGTCAAAACATTTTTTAGGGTTTAGAATTTTAAGATATAGGCTTTATAAATCTATAATTAGTGGCATTTTTGTAAATAGAAACTACTAAATGGTATTCTTGCAAATGTGCACACAAAAAATGGCATTTTTGTAATTACCCCATAATATCATTATGACTAAGGTATAATATTACAATAAATTAGAAATGTAGGTAATAAATTAAATTTTTTTTTTAACACGGTTGTATACTCGAAAAGAATTCAATATTACTTGGAATATAAAATAGTCGATTACTCCTTTTGTTGTTGTGCATAAAAATAAATAAACCAATCATTCAATAAAGTTACTTAATAATAAAAACTTCCAGTGTCCCTCATGCCTGCGCAAGTACGTAGTAAAATTTGGACGTAATCTTGCTGCAACTTCTTCATATCAACTTTGAAGAGAATTTGCGATTTTACTTTTAGTTTCCGCCACACCATCGTTTAAAATAGTCGAAATCCATTTGTTACTTAACATATTTGTTAATGTTGTAATGAAAACGCTTTCTTCAAGGCAAACAGATACATTCAGTAAACTGAAGTAACCAAGCCTCCAAAAGAGTAGAAATTACTAAACAGGGCAATTCTAAATAGCTTGACTACAATGTTTGGAACATAAATAGGCATAGTTAAACATTAAAAACCAGTTTTGTTTTGGTGAAGATTTTTTGATCTCTTATACACCTTTTCCTTTGAGTGTTTCGTTCATGAGTAGCACCCGTTCTTCCGTGGACTCAAGCGATCGCATATTCTCCTTTTCTTTCATGACAGACTCATGTGATCCCACATTCTTGTTTTCTTCCGCGGACTCAGGATCACCGGTGTTGTCCTCATCCCTCCCCAAAGGAAAAAACCGAAGAACGGGTGTTTTTCCATTGGAGACAAGTTTGAACCTCAAGAAACCACCGGATTTTTGCCCATTTGTGCAGCAAAATGCTCTCCACCCTCGTCTGATACAAAACCGGCCAGATGATCTATGGTACACAAACTCTAATGTCGATGAACTGCCTTTTTCATAAATTAGAATAATCTCGTTGCAGAGTGTACTAAGACCACTTGAGGTAGTAAAGCCTTTTGGAAGAGTCTGCACACAACAAACATATCCCAACATTCATGAGTATCAATAATTTTTAATTCATCCTACAAAAAAAAAAAAAAACTAAGTCCAAACAAAGTAATTACAAGTGAATCAGCTTTTAGGTTTGAATCTGTGACAGGAACCACATAACAAGTCTCATCTTTTATTGGATTTTTCTTCTTCACCTTGCTATTTCTAATAACCTTCTCTGAAATCACAAGCAGACCACATACCCAACAACAAGTCAAATCTGAATCTCAAGCTAATTTTGTTTTGTTTTTATATCTCCAAATATGGTACAAGACTTAAATCAGCCTCTCAAGCAGAGTTTGAATCAGTCAACTTACCGGTATGATTGTCGTCATCATGTGAGTAAAGTATCTCACAACAGCTTAGTCCTAAGGGAGTGACATGGAACATGAGGTTTCCTTCATGTCTGAAAACAAGAATGTCGCCGACTTTGAGACTGTGAGCCACAGCAAACTTTACCCATCCGTTTATCAATCTCCGGCCGTCCAACGTAATTTTCCAGGTGATCTCCGAGGCGTCTGATATCAGTGTTACCGCGTTGCCCTCTTCTTTTCCCTCCAAGTGCTTGGAGTAAAAAGCTACAGGAATCGACTGCAAAAAATAAACAAAAGAAGATAGTTTTAAACACACAAAAATCTAACAACAT